CCTTGGGTCGACCTTAGGGTTGGTATGTGTTTTTGAGTATGGGTACTCACTTCTTCGATTTGTTAGGGTTAGAGTGGTTGTTGTTTGTTAGTTGTGTGCTTTGTTGTGGGGTGGTTATAAGGTTATTTTGGTTCGAGGGATTTGTTAGGAATTCTCCTTATTCGATTTGGCTAATTTTGGTCGGGGTTTTCTCGAAAATCGTCCACTGCGCTTTGAACTGGTAGATTAGGATTACTGCGAGTATTACTGTTTTTTTCTCGCTGGTAGGTTTGGAACTTCTGCGGGAAATAGATTGCGGTAATTCGATTGGTTATGGATCAATATCAGAATTTTGTGGAATTTATTAGTGTGTTGTGAGGGGGACTTGGTGTTCTGTAGATGGGAGGCTCGACCCGAGGAGCAGGTCCGAGGCCAGTTTCGACCTCTGGAATTTATGAATTACTTCTTTCTTTATTGATGTAAACCTTCGCCATTGGGACCAGGTTTTTTTTTTAAGAAAAAAAAGAGAAAAAAGGAAAAAAATGAACTACGTCCATATATGCCCAAGTTTGACAATGGGATCGCCTAACATCCAGGTTGCTCTAACAGTTATATTTGCAATATCAATACTAGAAGGATATGCAACTTTCATGGCTGCAATTCCCTTTTCCTTCCCCCAGCCCTATTGAGTAACAATATCCTACAAGGCCAACACTTTCCCGCACACCAAACACAACTCATTCACACACACTCACAACCCCCCACAGGTGGCCCCAACCCTGCACCTAAACCACTAGGGGAAGGGAAAACATGGTATATTATCTCCTTCATCACCATGAAAGGTATGCTATACTTGCAGGGGTCCCATGTTTTGGCTAAGGAGTAGTGGTAGGTAGGTAGTATCTTTCTTTTTTTGGGGTCGTGCTTTTTTTTCATCATGCTTATATATATACTAGCTTATCACATGCGGTGCAAAAAAAAAAGCAAAAAGGTTAGTCAATCATGTACATTGTGTCAAGATATTGCTTCAAAATATGCAAACCCGTACCGAGGCCACTAAGAAAGTACGCTTGGAACCAAACCGCCGAAATGGTAAAGAAAGTACTCACAGGGGGTGGGGGGTGGGGGGGAGGTGCCGAATTTAGATGCATATTTTGGGTATCCGCTAAGAAAGTATGCTTGGAACCAAACCGCCAAAATGGTAAAGATAGTGCTGTCGGCGCGAATACCCTTACAAGGGTATCCGCCTTGGTTTTTGCAAATGACAGGAAGAACCGGAAAAGGTTGGACTCCCCACGTGCCCGCGCGAGTCCGCCGTCTGGGCGGGAATAAAAGTTGTTTAGTATAAGTGTGAGCGCGCAACTTTAAGGCGCGTGTGTGATTTTTTCTCTTTTGATCATGAATCCCCGTTGCTCGAATTAAGGTTTTGGAAAATTTCAAAGGTCCGCTGGCCGGCGTGCTTGACCAGTGCTAGGACTGTCACGTAGGTAAGCATGCGGAATGGCCATGGCGCGGGCCCGGTAGGCCGGCGCGGGCGTTTGGTGGCCGTAGGTGCAGATGCGGGCTGGGGGAACGACCAGGGCGCTTTCGTGGCCCTGGATAAGGCGTGGTATTACGTTATATGGGAGATCGCGCCTGCTGGTTTCAAGCTGGGGCATAGCCCTATAGGTTACGGCGTCAGATTGTCACTACGAAGGTCTGGGGATCAAGGCTTGCATGCGACGACGAGGGGGCAGCGGAGCGTCGGAGGGAATTGGAGGGGTTGAGGGCCCAAAAGGGCTATCCCCTTTCAGTTTTGTTCGCAAGCGCGGCGACGGGCCCAGGCCCCTGGGACCGCTGGGGCTTTAGCAGTCTCTGCACCCTGCGTAGAGATTTTTGTTTATGCTATTTTATTTTACTTTTGCCTTTTTATTTATTATTAATTTTATTCTTGTTATTACTCACGGCCCCGTCTTGATCTGGGGCGCGATGCCGCGAGTGGGGTAGCACCGCGAGAGTCAGCCGTGGTTAAGTCCGTCGGGACATCCGTTAAAATTGAAACGATGCAGAGAAGATTAGTATTGTCCCGGTGCACCGGTGCTGGACATAAATTGAGAGCGGGCCGACAACCAGAGGTTTTTGAGAGTTGAAGGCTGTCGGACCACGTGGCGTGGGGGACCGAGTAACAAGCGATAGGCTGGTGGACGGGTGGAGGAGGAGCGAACCCAGTCGGGGCTCGCGTCGAGGTGCATCCGGAAAGAGGAGGTGAGGGAGCTTGGGTGTAAGCAGGGAGGAGACCGGACCTGGGCGAGGAGCTATGCCAGGTGTAAGCAGAGAGAGGGAAGGCGCTGTGATAGAGGAAGCTGGCTGTAGCGGAACAAGGAGGGCGGGCGAGCTGTGTTAAGCCTCCGAAGGGAGATGAACGAACTCGGGCGGGATCAGCGCCGGGGGCATACGAGCGAGGGAGGCAGGCAACTCATCACTAGCTAGCGGGGGAGACAGGCACTGCAGTGCAAAGAGGCGGAGGGTCACCGAGTCGAGTGAGGTAAAGGAGGAAGAGATTGAGTAGTGCAGAGGGGAATGCACCCAGATGCAATCTGCGACTGGATCCATTCGCAGGTTGAGACAGGGAGGTGACAGCACCGCGGCCGCTCCCCCCCCCCCTTCATACTTGGATCCATATCATGCTTCAACACACAAAAAAAACGCATTGCGGCTACTAAAAAGTGTGCATGAATATATTTGTTTTCTAACAAATAGTTAAAAATATATATATATTTTTAACGGAGGAGGCAGGGGGCCTCTCGTTGGACTTAGATCGATATCTTGCTTCACTACCCACCAAACCCGCACCGGGCCGCATGATTTTTTTTTTCTAGTATATATATATATATATTATATGTATTTTTTTTAATCAAGTTCAACCCCCCCCCCCTCCTCTTCGTACTTGATCCATATCTTGCTTCACAACACACAAACCTACACGGAGGCTGCTAAGACATACTTATGAATGTTTTTTTTCTAATGTATAGTTAATAATATATATTATTTATAATATATATCTTTTTAATTCAAGTTGTTTCCCCCTCCCCCCCCCCTCGGGACTTGGTTCCATATCTTGCTTCACAACACACAAACCTGGGGCTAGGTCCCACTTGCACAAATTAAGAGATCTTGATCGTCGATAACGAAGATCAAAAACCGAAATCTCCTAATCCGTGCAAGTGGGACCTTGCTCCTGCACTGAGCACGCAAAGAAGTGTGCATGAATGTTTTTTTTTTCTAATAGAAGCGAAAAAAATTGCTGGGTGACCCATTCGAAATAAAAGAATTGGCCGTCGTGCTGTTGACATCCCCTGTCTGGTTGGGGGGGGGGGCAGATGTCTCCAGTCGTATCCCTCAGACGGGTAAACTGGTTGCGGCTGTTCCACCTGGCCCTGGCCAACTTCGCTGCGGTGTTGAACTGGCTGTCAGGTATTGGTGGTGGTAGAACACCCCCTCCTCCGGAAGGCCGTATTGGGGGACAAAATCCTGCGTGTTCAGGTCAAACCCTCCTCGTTCCGTGGGCGTTTCTTTGTGCGAGAAACCCCTGCCTCCTGGCCAGTCTTCCCTTGGTTGCCAGGGGGGTAGTGGCTGCAGCCTTGTCTCTCTGATTTGATCATTCCTCCAAGCTTGATCCCTGTGCCACTCGGGAACTGTCCTCTGAGGCTCCGGGCCTTGACTGAACAGGTCCTGGTGCCGGCAGTCATCCTCCACCCCACGCCGGAGATGATGGTACCCCCCTGAAGCGCCACCTAGAGTAGCTTTGGTACTGAACTCTTGAGTATGTTCCATGTGGCCCTGGTGCAGCTGCTGCACCGGCTCAACAATCAAGCCCCGTTGTCCCTGACCGTCTTGGTGGGATGGGTGTGAACTCTGTTGAGACGCCGTCTGATAACCCCCTGTGCTGCGTGTGCGAAGTAGGGTCGCAGTTGGGCTGGAAAAGGAGAGTGCTAGTAGTCTTGAACGAGTTCCTCTGGGCCGCGTTAGTCCCAGATTAGATCTTAGAGTCAGTTGTAGTCTAAGGATCAACCATATAGNTAGTAGTCTTGAACGAGTTCCTCTGGGCCGCGTTAGTCCCAGATTAGATCTTAGAGTCAGTTGTAGTCTAAGGATCAACCATATAGCTTAGGTAGTATGGTCTTATTAGCCTGAAGTCAATTCTTCTCACATCTGAACGAGTAAGTGTACCTTCCATCAGCCTTGGGCTGCCTAAGATGCTAGTTTGTTTGTTTTATGGTGCTCTCTTGGTTGGTGGGGTATGCGGTTCACACTGTAGGAAATTGGGAAGTCTACAGTTAGAGACTCTCTGCAGGCGTGAGCCTGTAAGCTAAGCTGGCTGATGCTGTCAGTACTCCGGGTTGAAGTGTGGGGTCCCCGGCCTCGTTTCCAAGTTTATAATGAATGTCTGCGTTTGACTGAAAAAAAAAAAAAAAAAAAAAAAAGAATTCGCTGGCCAACATCTTTTTTTTTGTTGTTTTTTAAGCTATATTCATCTCTCAATTTCACCTCACACTACCTACCTACCACTACTCCTAATTGTAGGCATACGGGGAACCCTTAGCAGCCAGAACCGTGTTCACGAGAGAACATGCGGGGAATACTCCGTAACAGCCGCTCTGGCCGAACCGTACAAGGCCGCCTATTCCTAGAACACTGGCCATTTCGGGAATATCATCGCGGCATTCCCGATGGTCCCATTTTGCGGGCCGCTGTACTGGCCGGATTGTTTTTTTGATTTTCTTTTTAGTGGAAAAAAAAAGTACCAAGTGACGGCATACTCGCACCTGAATGTACATCACCGCTTTTCTAAACCGCGCGTGGACGCACCTTGTAACAATTACGTCCACAGAGAAGTCGAAAGGTCCTAGTGTGAGTATGGCCTGATCCAGATCCGTTCGCCACATTCTCCATGGTAGCAGGGCGCGCCGGGTAAGTCACGGCGGGAGTATTCGTGAAGACTAACTTTGAGATACCGGATACGTGAGCTTGCAAGTGATCGCGGCACACTGCCCTGCTTCCGTGCTATGGCGCGAGGTCGTCCCCACAGTTAGCTCGAATTCAACAAGGAGAAATCGACTGCTCTTGAGAAAAGGCTGCACTCGTGAGTAGGAGCTCTTTGCATGCATGGTTTGCAGGAGCATGCCTCCCCAGACAAGCAAAGCACAAGGAAGGGGCGGGAGCTTAGCAGCCGGGACAGTGGTTGTGGCATGTATGTTCGTGTAAAAGCAAGTCCATGGGAGGTGATCTGCAAGGTCGTACACAGCAAGCAGGCGCCGAACTTCGTGCCAGGAGGGAGAGGGATCTACGGGTAGGTGAGCTTCCCGCTGCCTCCTCTCCAAGTCCCTGGCCACGATTCTTTTTCCTGGATGGCCTTTTTTCTGTTGCTACCTCTCGTCCCTGTACGTTGTTGTGTGTGTGTGTGTGTGTGTGTGTGTGTGTGTGTGTG